TGGGCAGCGCGGTGGACAGCTGCAGGAACTGGTCGGCGAAGAACAGGGGCGCCACGGCCGTGTCCAGCCTGCGGAGACACCGGCCTCGCAACCTCGGGGCCAGGCTCCCTGCCACAGCCCCCACGCCCACCCCAGACGCCCAGGCCCCGGGGTCCCCTCGGCGTGGTGCCCGGAGCACGTGGGTAAGGCAGGCTGCCCGGCTGTGCCAGCCACCGGGCCGCTCAGAGCGGCTGCCCAGGAGCCGGGCGCAGGCAGGCGCTGGGAGGGGCCGCCCGAAACCCTCCCTGACCCGGAGCCCCGCGCGGCCCAGGGCCTGGCACTCACAGCACCCGGCCGTCCCGCTGCCTCCGCACCACCAGCCCGAAGGGCTCCTCGGAGAACTGCACGCCGTAGAGCGGGGACGGCGCCCGGCCGCGGGCGCGCGGGGTCCGCACCGGCACCTCGTAGCGCCGGCTGGCGGGGTCTCTGATCTGGACGGGGCGGGCAGGAGCGGGCGTCGTGAGGCGGGCGCTGGGCCGCAGGCGTTCCCACGCCGCCCGCCCCCCCTGCACCCCTGGGGCGCGGGGTCCGGGGAGGTCCCGGATGGCCGCGCCTGGCGGGTGGGGCGCCTCCCGCTGTGAGGCTGCCTCAGTGCAGGTGCCTCAGTGCTGGCTCAGGCCCACAAGGCGGCCTCTGCTTTGCTTGCTGACCCTGGCAGCGCTGTCCCACCGGCACAGCGGCTCCGCGGGCACAGCGGGCGGGCTCAGGCGAATGAGGAAACGCACTCGGGCCCCGCAGCCTCTCGGTCAGCAGTGCTAACACAGGCCGGCGGCCCAGCAGCACCGTGGCGGCCTCTCGGCATGGCAGTCCGTCCACCAGGGCTCACAGGCACCCGCTCGGTGCCCGGCGGCTCGGTGCCCAGTGGCTTGGGAACCGCAGACAGAGGCCCTGCCTCGAGGACGGATGGGGGGCTGGGGTCCCCGCGCCACTGCCTGCGATGGCCCCTCACCGTCCCGCCCGCTGCCTGCAGGACCCCATGAGACTCACTTTCCGGGGCCTAACCTCCCCAGCCGCGCCCTCCACACAAGTCTAGAACCTTCCAGTCGTCGTCTTAGCGGCCCTGCTCCCTGCGGGGGCACTGTGCTCACGCCAGGACCCCGGGCGCTGCCCACGCTGGTGCAGAGAGCAGACCCACGGAGCCGCGCCCGCCGCCCGCCGCCCGCCGCGCCCGCCCACCGTGACGCGCAGCCGGCTCTCCGTCTCCAGCAGCACGTCCAGCCGCAGGGTGAGCACGTCCCTGGGGAAGAAGGTCGGGGCGGCGCGCGTCAGGCTGGCCGTGTAGCCGGTGTCCGTGGCGGTCAGGTTGCCCAGCCGGTAGCTGGGGTAGCCGGGCGGGAAGAAGCACCAGGGCGGCCCCATGCGGGAGCCCCGGGGCCGCCCCACGGGCGCGTAGCAGCAGCCCCGGGCCTCGCACTGGCCCTGGGTGACGGCCTTGTCCGGGGCGCAGTCGAAGCGGCTGTTGGGGGGCACGTCGCACTGTGTGGGTGCCGCTCCGGGGCGGGGCTGGGGCCCCGGGCTGTGGGCTCCCTGCTGGCAGGCTCGGGGCGGCTCCTCGGGGGCACCACACAGCTCCAGGGGAGCCACTGCCAACTGGTGGAGCAGGACGTGCCCCAGGAGGACGGTGGCGGCCAGGGAGAGGAGGGCGCAGACGCCCAGCCAGGGGCGGGCGCGGGGCGGCCCCCGAGCGCCCATGGCCTGTGCCCGTGGGGATGGGTCCTGGAGGCCTGCGGAGAGAGGAGCCGGGCTCAGCAGGGGAGTGAGCCGGGGCCTGGGACGCCCCTCGCAGCTTCCTGACGACATGAACTTGTGCGGGGGGGGGGGGGGGGGGCGTGCAGGGCGAGGTGAGGTCAGCCACGGAGGGGGCAGGTGAGGATGGGGAAGGAGAGAAAAGTCCCAAATGGGGGCGGGGGGGGGGGGGGCGCGAATACCGTGGAATGTTACCCAGGAGCCGCCTGTAGGTCTGCAGGAAGGATTTAATGACACAACAGACCCACCTGCTAGAGGGCCAAGTCCCAACAGCAGACGCTGGCCTGCTCCTGCACAAGCACCAAGGCTATTAGGTGTGACCAGCGAGTGGGAGTGGGGTGCCCGCAGGGGGTACCCCTGCCCTCTGTCCCCTCCTGCTGACAAGCTCAGGGGAGGCCTGCATGGCGGTCTTACAAACTCCCACAAGGATGGGACCTGAAGTCCCACCGGGAGGGTCTGCAATTAAACTTGAACTAAAGGCAGCGGTGGTGGACAGTTCCGTCCTAGGCCTGCATCTTCACTGACAAGGTCAACCCTCACCTTCACTGAGCCTATTGTCTGTTAGCGTCTAAGATATCACACCCTTGAAATGTCCGGGTAGCTTGTAACTCCCCTTTTTTCCTGGTCCCCTCATGGCTCAACCAAATGCCCTGGGCACCAGGACAGGCGACCATAAACGCCTCCCTTGTTATTGTTATTCTGTTAATTAGCAACTATTCGCTATCCTGCAAGCACTGACACCCAATCCCAGAGGCCCCCACCGCCTTTGCTTCCTTTCTCCCACCTCCCTAGCCCATCACCTCCCAACGGATTTCAGTAACCGCCAATAAAAAGGTGAGAAAATACCCAATCCCTCCAGTTGTCGACAGTTTGGCTCAAATAAACTCACAAAAATTCTTTCAGGTTTGAAGGCTTTTACGTTAATGCCTCAAGGATACAACTAGGAGCCGCCCATGGTGGGGTGTGGGGGGGGGGGGCAGGGGGCACGGGGCGTCCACGCCCTTTCCCGCAGCCACCGGCCCAGCATCACAATGTGGTCACCAGCCTGGACGCTCGCCGGACGCCGAGGAGGGTGGGATCTCACCAGGCGGGCACGCGTGCATAGATCACCGGCACTGGTGACGAATCCCTCTCACTCCCAGAAGTCGGGGATAAAAGTCTGGGGACCAGCTCCCAGCCACCCATCATCTCATTAGCGTGTAACATACGCCAGTGGTCGGCAAATTGCGGCTCTCAATTCTTTTAATATATTTTATTGATTTATTGATTGACAGAGAGGAAGGGAGACAGTTAGAAACATCGATGAGAAAGTCATCGATCAACTGTCTCTTGCACACCCCCTACTGGGGATATGCCCGCAACCAAGGTACATGCCCTTGACCGGAATCGAACCTGGGACCCTTCAGTCCCCAAGGCAATGCTCTATCCACTGAGCCAAACCGGTCCCGGCAAATTGCGGCTCTCAATTCTGACCTAGACTCTCAATTCCCATAATGACAGGCTGCTGTTGTTCCTTGTGATTAAGCCCCCATCCCAGCGGCCGGCAAACTCATTAGTCAAAGGAGCTGCAAATGTCGGCTCGTGAGCCGCAGTTTGCCGACCACTGAAATACTCATTACTCCCAAGATACCAGGGCTTAGGAGTGGGAAACAAAGACACAACATTTATTTTGTTAAAGTGTCCCGGCTGCACCTGACCCCACCAGACACCTGACGGCCCTTTCCTGATGAGGAAAACTCAGAACCGACCCCAGCCGGCGCGGCTCAGGGGTTGAGTGTTGGCCTGGGAACCTGGAGGTCACCGTTCCATCCCGGGTCAGGGCACAGGCCTAGGTGACGGGCTCCATCCCCAGTGGGGGGCGTGCAGGAGGCAGCTGGTCCATGATTCTCTCTCATCATTGGTGTTTCCATCTCTCTCCCTCTCCCTTCCTCTCTGACATCAATAAAAATATATTTTTCTAAAAAGAAACAAGGGACATCAGAGCTTAGGGCAGGGTCCGCGGTGGGAGCCCTGGGGCAATGCCCCCCAAGCGCAGCAGCTGCAGACGCGGGCCCAGCCCGAGGCCCCGGCGGGGGCGGCCAGAGCCCAGCTCCGCCGCCGGAGGGGGGGCCCCGGCGCCCGTTTCCTGCCCCCGGGGAGGGCGGCGCGGGTTCCGGCCCCCACGCTGCTGCCGCCCCCGCGCCCGGACCCGGCACCGCGCGCCCAGGTCTCCAATGGGAAATCACTGACGACCCGCCGGTCAATAGACCCACCGACCCCTCCCGCCTCCGGGCGTCAGGAGGGCCCGACCCGCCGAGCCTCCCGCCGGAAAGGCCGCGGGAGCCGCCGGGCCGGCTGGGGCCGCGGGAGGCCCTGGCCCGCTAGGGCGCCGCTCACCTCCGCGCACGCGCGCTCAGCTCCGGCCCGCACGCCTCTGCGCACGCGCGCCTGCCCGCAGCTGCGCCCCGAGGTCAGGTGCCGGCGGGGGCGGTAGGTCACGTGGCCAGCCGCGGCGCAGGCGCCCTGGGTGAGTGCGCGCTCCTGTGCCCGTGCGCCCCCTGGTGGAGGGGCGAGCCGCGCCGGGGCTGTCTCTGGCCCTCCTCCTCCCCCAGGACCCGGGCAGAGGCGCTCCGTGCGGGGTCAGGGACAGGGACGGGCGACCCGTCAGCACCCCAGCGGCTGTCGGGCTTCCATTGGCGCCTACAGAGGGGCACAGCTGTTCGCCCCGAACTGGCAGAGCGCAAGAATGGTGGGCGGCCACGCTCACAGCAGCTTCCTCCGTAACCATGGCCGTGACCCTGAAAGCGGCGCCTGTGCGCAGCTCCATCGAAGGACGGTGCTGCTTCAGAGGAGCGAGCTGCTCGGAGCCGAGCACAACGGCCCAGAAACCGCTGGGGGGGCCTGCCAGTGGCGCCCCGATTCCTTATGGGTTTTGTGATTCTCAAATGTGTGAGAATAAATATGCCTTTCTCCATATTCAGAAAAAAAAATTTATTTTCTGTTGAGACGTGTGAAAGTGAAGTTCTTTGTAGAAACCTTCCGTTACTCTGCAGAGAGGCCACGCTAGCAGGTGCTGGGGCCGGGGTGGGGGAGGAGGACGCTCCGGTGACCGGTGGCCGTGGAGGCGGGACGTCAGCCCTCTGTAAGCCGCCGGTGCGGGTCACCCCCCCTGCACGTTCTCCCCCCGGCTGAGAATCTGGATTTAACCGGGGCTGGGAGCGGGGAGGAGAAGGACCTGGGGGGTGGGAGCGAGAAGCTGCCCAGGAGGAGGTGGTGTGAGTGCAGGTGCAGACACAGGAGCCTCCAGGAGCCCAGGTTTTGCTCAGGGAGCACGTCACCGTCCATCCGGGGAACAGGCTCCGCCTTCCCGGGCGTGGCCCCGGCCAAGGGGTGACCTGCCTAAAGGCAGCGGGAAGGCCGGGAGGTGACTCGGTGTCCGCAGCGCCAGCCTGGTCGTTCCCTGAGGGTGGGCGTGGCTTCCGTGGGTCTCTTCCCGGCTGGCCTGGGGGGCGCCGGCCGGGCGCGAGCTAGAAGGGCGCGGGGGCGTCCAGCTGGCTGGCCACGGCCTGCCTGAGCGCGAGCAGCGCCTCCTGGAACTGGGGGTGCTCCTCCTGCACGTGGTCCAGGACGGCGCCGATGGTGGCCAGCCGGTGGTCCAGGCGCCGACGCTCCTCCAGCTGCGCCGCCTTGGTGCGGAACAGGAACACGTACCTGCCGTCCTTCGCCGCCTGCAGGTGCCTGAGGCGCGTCTGCAGGGTCACCAGCTCCGACAGGTTCTGGGGTCGGAGCAGAGGCGCGCATCGGGCTGTGCATTTAAAGGGGGACACCCACCGCCTCCTCCACAAACCCAGACTCAGGCAGGGGAAGACAGAGGACGGGGCCTTGCAGGAGAGGCTGGGCGGAGGTGGCCGCGGGGTGCCGGGCCTGGCGCTGGGGGACCTCCCGATCCCCACTGGCCAGGCCCAAGCCCTGCCTGGCCTTTCTCCCCTGCTCACGCCCACCCAGCCTCGCAGGAAACCCGCGGGGACGGCTCTGAAATTCTCTGCAGACCCAACGGCGGCCACGGTCTAGCCCCACGGTGGGCAATGGCCCTGTCCGCCCATCACCGTCCTCCTTACGTGCGATGGCCTCACCCGGGCCTCCCGTCACCTTCTGTTACTCACTCAACCGCAGAGCCCCTGGCCACCCCAGCCGCACCCAACCCCTCCGACACCCGCCTCGATCCTGCTCCCTGAGGGGGCCTCCCCCCCCAGCCCCCACGGCAGGCCGGCCTGCACTCTGGGGCTTTGGGGCCGCCCGGAGCTCCGGCTCTCGCCTGACCCCTCCGCCAGGGGCGGCACCCTCCGTCTCCTCTAAGCCCGGCTCGGCTGTCACTTCTCTGAGCCCGGCCTAACGGTGCGACCCCCCTCTTGTTTCCTCCAGAGCACCATCACCAGCTAACACGCCAGTGCTCTCTCGGACTCCCCATGGTCCTCCCGCCCGCAGACCCGGAACCTCGGGGAGGGCAGGCCATGGTCTTTCTGCGCCACCGGCAGCCCTGGCTCCCGGGGCCAGGCCTGGACCACGAGGGGCCTGATGTGTGAGATGCCCTTGGCGGGAGGAGGCCGCGCCCGCAGCCGCGTGGGCTGCTGCTGCGGGGCAGACCCCCGGCTGCAGCTCCCATGGTGCTGGGCCCGGGCCCTGGGCCTGCCCACCTGGCGCTTGCGGTCCACGAGCTGCTGCAGGTTGGCCTCCAGCTCCTCGGCCTGGGCCTGCAGGGCGGCCAGCTGCGCCTGCTTCTCGTGCAGCGAGTCCCTCGTGCCCTTCTGGCTCTCTTCCAGCTGCAGGATGTTGTTGCTCGTCTCCTCGGTGGCCTAGCAGTGGTCGGCAAACTCGTGAGTCGGCAGAGCCAATGCCAACAGGACAGCCATTGACATTCCTTTGGAGAGCCACCTTTTTTAAGCGTAGACTTCTTCTAACCCCACTTCTTCAGAATAGACTCGCCCAGGCCGTGGTATTTTGTGGAAGAGGCACACTCAAGGGGCCAAAGAGCCGCAGTTTGCCGACCGCGGGCCCACGGGACCCGCAGATCACCTGGGACCCTGAGCCCACGGGCCTAAGGGACCCTGCCACTCCCCTGGCCAATGCCACCTGCCATGCTGGCCACCCCCAGGGGGTGGGGGTGGGGGGCACGCCGGCCGTGGACAGGCTGCCCTAGCAGGCTCCCTACCTTGTGGAGGTCCCTGATCTTCCGCCGCAGCTCCAGCTCCTTGTGGTGGAAGTCCGACCGGGTGAGCATCTTCCTGTCCATCTTGCTCTGGCCCTCGGCCTGGGTGGAGATGGTCTCCCTGCGGGCGACGGCATGCTCCATGTCCCGGATCATCCGCTCCTGCTGCTTCAGCAGCTGCTTGTGCCGGACCTGGAGTCGGGGCAGAGAGAGACTGTGGACCGGCCGCCTCCTGCACCGGGCACGTGCCTGACCCGGAATCCAACCTTGACCTCCTGGTTCCCAGGTCGATGCTCAACACTGGGCCACACCAGCCAGCAAACACACGGCGTTTAAAAATATCGGAGCGCAGCCCTGGCCGGTGTGGCTCAGTGGATAGAGTGTCAGCCTGTGGACTGAAAGGTCCCGGGTTCGATTCTGGTCAACGGCATGCACCTTGGTTGCGGGCACATCCCCAGTAGGAGGTGTGCAGAAGGCAGCTGATTGGTGTTTCTGACTCTCCCTCTCCCTTTCTCTGTAAAAAGTCAACAAAATATATATTTTTAAAAATAAATAAATACCGGAGTGGAAGGACAGACAGCGGCGAGGAGAAGCCGTGCGTGCGGCCGTGTATCTGGGCTGCTCCCAGGGAGTGCGGGGAGGACGGACCGACAGGGCAGCAGGGGGCAGCGCGTTCCACCAGAGCTTGGAGTGCGGGGCGCCTGCTCGGCTCCCTCCCGGGCCCAGGACCTCCTGCACCCCACCTCCTGCACCCAGGACCTCCTGCACCCCACCTCCTGCACCCCAGGACCTCCTGCACCCCACCTCCTGCACCCCAGGACCTCCTGCACCCCACCTCCTGCACCCCAGAACCTCCTGCACCCCACCTCCTGCACCCCACCTCCTGCACCCCAGGACCTCCTGCACCCCACCTCCTGCACCCCAGGACCTCCTGCACCCCAGGACCTCCTGCACCCCACCTCCTGTACCCCAGAACCTCCTGCACCCCACCTCCTGTACCCCAGGACCTCCTGCACCCCAGGACCTCCTGCACCCAGGACCTCCTGCTCCCCACCTCCTCCACCCCAGGACCACCTGCATCCGGTGGATCTCCGCCTTCATGGCCCGGATCTCCTTCTGGCCTGTCTCCGAGTCCACCGAGGCCCGCATCTCCTTCGCCAGCTGGATCTTCTTCTCCCAAAGCAGGATCTGGTGCCTTTGAGCGCACAGGAGGCCGTGTGGGGGCTGGAGGGCTCGGGCGTCCTTCCCAGGCGCCCTGAGCTCCTGCTCACAGGCCCCACCCCAGGGGCCACGGGGGCGGGGAGGTCAGGGCGCGCAGAGATGGGCGCAGGGTCCTGGAGGCGGGGGGCGGGGCGACGGCGCGCATCGCTATGGGAGACGCTCTGCCTGCTCTCCTAGGGAGGCCCTCCAGGGGCAGGGGGCATGTGCTGATGCCCTGGGCGCGGGGCGTGGCTGTTACATAAGAAACCTCCCCCCCCAATTCTGCGACCAGCAGCCCGCAGTGCCGGCCAGCTGCCTCCGGAATCACCCAGTTGGAGAGATTCTTCCTTTTCTTTTCTTTTCTTTTTTTAAAATATATTTGATTGATTTTTAAAATATATATCTTATTGATTTTTTATAGAGAGGAAGGGAGAGGGATAGAAAGCTAGAAACATCAATGAGAGAGAAACATTGATCAGCTGCTTCCTGATCCTGCACACCTCCTACCAGGAATGTGCCTGCAACCAAGGTACATGCCCTTGATGGGAATCGAACCTGGGACCTTTCAGTCTGCAGGCCGACACTCTATCCACTGAGCCAAACCGGTTTCGGCTCGGGAGGGATTCTTTATTGAAAACACGTTTTTATCGACTTTAGCGAGAGGAAGGGAGAGGGGCTGAGAAACACCAGTGATGGGAGAGAATCATGGACCCGCCGCCTCCCGCACGCCCCCTACTGGCGATTGAGCCCGAAACCCGGGCCTGTGCCCTGATGGGGAATCGAACCGGGCACCTCTCGGTTCATAGGTCCACGCTCAGTGTCTGAGCCACGCCGGCCCGGCAACCCAGGACGCTCCCAGCAGACTCACTCGGCCTCCACCAGCAGGTTGAGGAGCGACACCTTCTCCTGGTTCAGCTGCTCCAGCCTGTCCTGCATCTCGATGGTCTCCCTCTCTGCGGCCTGGGGGGCGGGGGGGCAGCGGTGCTGGTGGACCAGGGGCCCACGGCCCTGCCGCCCCTGCGGCCTTCCCGGGGCCCGGGGCCCGCCCTGCCCCGGAGACGCCTGTGCCGCGGTGGCCTCCGCCCGCCGGCCCGCCGGGCGCACCTTCAGCGCCTGCAGGAACTGGCTCTCGGTGAGCAGGTTGGCCTGCTGCAGGTCCTCGGAGCTGCTGCGGTTGCGGCTCAGGAGCACGTTGAGCTTCCGCAGGTCGTTGTCCAGGTCCTTCATGTGCCGCTCGATGTCCTTCTGCTCCTGCTTCTCCTGCTCGATCTTCTCTGTGGGGAGGGACTCGGGCCCTGAGCCCTGCTGTCCTCCGGGGCCCCCATCACAGCCCTCCGGGGCCGGGGACAGGGGAGGGGTCCCCCTGGCGCCCCATCACAGCCCTCCGGGGGCCCCCATCACAGCCCTCTGGGGCCGGGGACAGGGGAGGGGTCCCCCTGGCGCCCCCATCACAGCCCTCCGGGGGCCCCCATCACAGCCCTCCGGGGGCCCCCATCACAGCCCTCCGGGGGCCCCCATCACAGCCCTCCGGGGGCCCCCATCACAGCCCTCCGGGGGCCCCCATCACAGCCCTCCGGGGCCGGGGACAGGGGAGGGGTCCCCCCGGCCGCCGGGTTCCGAAGCCCGGCCCCTCGGGGACCTGGAAGGACGGGTTGGACAACCAGCAAGTGGGGGGACAGGGGAGGGCAGGCGGACCTGGGAGGGTGGGGCGGACAGCACAGGACCGCAGGGAGGAAGCGGGGCGTGATGTGCCAGGGGGTGGGAGCCCCAAGCTCTGGGCGGCACCCCAAAGGGCTGCAGGGCCGGGTGACCTGCGATGACCCCGGGCCAGGGACCAGGTGGGACCCAGAGGGGCAGGTGCCTCAGCAGGTGGCTGTGGGGTAGAAGGTGCCCCTGCCCCTCTGGGCACCTGGCACGCAGAGATCCTGAAGTGCAGCCACAGCGGGGTGAGCCGGGGCTGCGGGGGGGGGGGGGGGGGGCTCCGGGCGGGGCTCCGGCCCCGGGGCCCACGTCCTGTGACTCCGGGAGCCGCCTGCCGAGGGCGGGCGGAGGGCACTGGATCGCAAACTGAACAAGCTCAGCACACATTCGCGCCTCGCCTGACCCGTGACTGCGGCCCACCCGCCGGCCAGGGCCACGCTCAGAGCCACACCTGGGCCGCGGAGGGGGGCCCTCCGTGCCCCCTCCCTGCCCCCGTGGCCCAGTCCAGCGCGGGCCAGACTGCGCACTCACTCTCGGTCCTCAGCTTCTTCTGCTCCAGGATGCGCACCTCCTTGCGGAAGAGGCTCAGGGCGGCCAGCTGCTCCTCGCGCTCCTGCGCCGCCCGCACCATGTCCTGCTGGAGGCGCAGCCAGCCCACCTGCGCCTGCGTCACCTTGGTGCCCACCTCGTCCAGCAGCTTGCTCAGCCTCTTGATCTCCAGCTCCAGAGGCCCCATCTCTTCCCCCTGCGAGAGCCGCGGCCGGGCCTCCGATGAGCGGCCTCCCTCCGGGGAGGGAGCCGAAGGCTGGGGGCTTCTCGGGGCCGGCCGACCTCGGTGCCCCTGGTCTCCGCGGCCGCCTACCCCGATCTCGGAGACCATCTGCTCCAGCTCCTTGTTGAGGGTGTTGATGAGGCCCTGCTTGCGCTCGATGAGGATGGTGCGCCGCGCGATCTCGCTCTCGCTGTTGCTGATGAGCTCGTTGACCTTCTGCACCTCCTTGTCCAGCTCGGCCAGCGCCTCCCGGTGCCCCTCCAGCCGGCAGTTGGTGCGGGTGATGTCCAGCGTGGCCTGGGCGATGTCGCCGTCGATCTTGGAGTGGTGCGTCACCTGCGCCCGGCAGCCGACACGTCGGACCCTTCGCTTCCCCGGGGGCTCCGGAGGGGCCCCTCCTCCCGGGCCTGCTCCCTGGCCCTCAGGGCCTCCCACAGCCAGGAAAATGTGGCTCAGTGGACAGAGCGTCGGCCTGCGGACTGAAGGGTCCCGGGTTCGATTCCAATCAAGGGCATGTACCTTGGTTGCAGGCACATCCCCAGTAGGGGGTGTGCAGGAGGCGGCTGATGGATGACTCTCTCTTATCAATGTTTCTAACTCTCTATCCCTCTATCTTCCTCTCTGTAAAAACATCAATGATATCCCTCTCTCTCTCTCTCTATATATATATATATATATGTGTGTGTGTGTGTGTGTGTGTGTGTGTATATACATATAGACTTTGTTTCTCCTTAAACAGACAGTGGTCACATTGGGTGGGAACGTGTGACCACAGATGAGGAAATGGCCCGTTTTCCCGCTCAGGCGGGCCCCATCACCACCAGGAACCTGTCCCTTCCCCAGTCTTTCCCCATAACCCCTCCCCCAAACAAAGCTGTGCCCTGAGCCCACCGGCCAGCCCAGGCCTCGCTGCCCCCACAAAGCCTGAGCCCTCTCACCTTCCCCGCTCCTGCCCACCCCTAGCCCCCCCTACCCCCCACTCCCCTGGGCTCCTCCCAGGACCCCAGCTGGCTGTCCTACATGCACCTGCTGGCCGGCCGCGGGGTGCCTTTCCAGAACACCCCCATTTCCAGGTCTTACAGCGGGCCCTGCCAGCATCTCACCTCGCCACACCTGCTTGCCTCTGAGCCGCCCCTTTCTTTGCCAAGACCTTCTGAGGTCGCCAGGCCGCCCCTGCCTTCCTCCATGCCGGCACTCAACCCCCCACCCCGCCGCCCTGGCCTCCTGGGAGGTCAGTACGGCTCCTGGGCGGCCTGTCTACAATAGATGCCACCCCCCGTGGATGCTGCCCGCCTTCTCCCTGGGCCTCAGCTCCAGGGCATGGTGCCCATTCACAGTCCGGGTCCCCATCCCAGACAGGCCCCACCGGCCGGTTGAGGACTCTTTACTGCCCTCTCCTGGACATGGGTGGTACTAATGCACGCGTCTCCTGGGCAGCAGGGGACAGGGAAGGTTTGGGGCCTGGGGCCTGGCCTTGGAGGTCACACCCACCCCACTCCTTAGTTTCTCCAGGGCACCCACTTTGCTCCCAGCTGGTGGGCTTGCTCCCAATTTCCAGAAAATGGACTGGGGGGGGGACTTCCCGGATCTCAGCCAGGACGTCCCAAGGAGACCCAGGGTTCCCGGCCCTGCACCCCACTTCCTTGGGACAGCCGCCTCCTCCCAGCCCCGCCCCCCGAGGACAGGTGAGCCCGCCGGCTGGCTCTCAGCTGTTAGCTCTTAGCTGTTAGCTGGCTGGGCCTCCTGACCACACCCGCCCCACAGCAGTGCCCCCCTCTGGCCCTCCCCAGCCATTGCCACATTTGAGAAGTAGTCAGACCAGACCGAGGCGAGTGGATAGAGCCCGGGCCTGCGGCCTGAAATAGAAACAGCCAGGATGAGAGAGAATCATGGACCCGCTGCCTCCTGCACGCCTTACACTGGGGATGGACCCACAACCGGGGAATCCAACAGTGACCTCCCGGCTCCTAGATGGATGCTCAGCCCTGAGCCATGCCGGCTGCACATAGTGACCTTACTGAGCGGGAAAGGTGTATTAAGAACATGAGTTGGCCCTGGCCCGTGTGGCTCAGTGGATGGAGCGTCGGCCTGCGGGCTGAAGGGTCCCGGGTTCGATTCCAGTCAGGGGCATGTGCCTTGGTTGCAGGCACAGTCCCAGTGGAAGGTGTGCAGGAGGCGGCTGATGGATGTTTCTCTCTCATCGATGTTTCTGACTCTCTATCTCTCTCCCTTCCTCTCTGTAAAAGGTCAGTGGAGTATATTAAAAAAAAAAAAAGAAAGAAAGAAAGAAAATGGGTCAGAATGGACTGAAAAACCGACACGTACTGAGACCTAGGTTAAGGTGGGGTACCTGTGTGCACCCATGTTTGCCTGCACCCATGATTGTGTCCGCTCGCGTGTGCACGGGGATGTGGACATGTGTGTTCCCATGTCTGTGTGCGCCTGTGTTTGCTTCGTTGCACATGTATGAGCGTGTGTGTTCAGAAAGGTTTCCAGCAGGAACTGTGCCAGCCTCCTGGGGCAGATGGCAGCGGCCTGGTCTCCGCTCACTGCCCTGCGCGTCCAGGCTCCCTGTGACCAAAGCCTGGCACCCAGCCTGCCACCGAGCTTCGTGCCCTGGACCCACATCGAACCCGGGACCCTTCAGTCCTCGGGCTGATGCTCTATCCGCTGAGCCACACCACCAGGCACAGGTCATGGCTTTTACGGCAGGAGAACCTGAGCCGTGAACAGACAGGCCCGGCCCCTGCCCACACAGCTCTGCGGCCTGTGGCCGGTGGTCTGTGGGCGCCCCCCGCGGGCCCAGGCGCCCCCTGCTGGCCGCGCACCAGGTTGGTCATCTCCTTCTGCAGCTTGAGCAGCAGCTGGTGGAAGTACTTGGTCATCTTGTTAGAGGTGATGTGCTCCTGCAGCTTCCGCACGATGGCCGTGTCCAGCTCCCGCCGCAGCTGCCGCTCCTCCCGGATGGCCTGGTGCACGCCCAGCAGCTCGGCCCGGATCTCCTTGTGCTCCTGGGGGAGGGGCAGTGAGGGCTGCGGAGGCGCCCCGAGGTGTATGGTCCCCCCAGGAGGCGCCCCGCTGTGTATGGCCCCCAGGAGGCGCCCCTCGGTGTATGGTCCCCCCAGGAGACGCCCCGAGGTGTATGGTCCCCCCAGGAGGCGCCCGAGGTGTATGGCCCCCAGGAGGCACCCCGAGGTGTATGGTCCCCCCAGGAGGCGCCCCGAGGTGTATGGTCCCCCCAGGAGGCGCCCCGAGGTGTATGGTCCCCCCAGGAGGCGCCCCGCTGTGTATGGCCCCCAGGAGGCGCCCCGCTGTGTATGGTCCCCCCAGGAGGCGCCCCGCTGTGTATGGTCCCCCCAGGAGGCACCCCGAGGTGTATGGTCCCCCCAGGAGGCGCCCCGCTGTGTATGGCCCCCAGGAGGCGCCCCGCTGTGTATGGTCCCCCCAGGAGGCGCCCCGAGGTGTATGGTCCCCCCAGGAGGCGCCCCGCTGTGTATGGCCCCCAGGAGGCGCCCCTCGGTGTATGGTCCCCCCAGGAGGCGCCCGAGGTGTATGGCCCCCAGGAGGCGCCCTGCGGTGTATGGTCCCCCCAGGAGGCGCCCGAGGTGTATGGTCCCCCCAGGAGGCGCCCGAGGTGTATGGTCCCCCCAGGAGGCGCCCCGCGGTGTATGGCCTCCAGGAGGCGCCCCTCGGTGTATGGTCCCCCCAGGAGGCGCCCCGAGGTGTATGGCCCCCAGGAGGCGCCCCGAGTGTATGGTCCCCCCAGGAGGCACCCCGAGGTGTATGGCCCCCCCAGGAGGCGCCCCGAGTGTATGGTCCCCCCAGGAGGCACCCCGAGGTGTATGGTCCCCCCAGGAGGCGCCCCGAGGTGTATGGTCCCCCCAGGAGGCACCCCGCAGTGTATGGTCCCCCCAGGAGGCGCCCGCGGTGGGTGTGGTGGGGAGGGCTGTGAGTGGGAGAGGGCGGCGGGTGGGCGGGGAGAGGCTGTGAGTGGGAGAGGGCGGCGGGTGGGTGGGGAGAGGCTGTGGGTGGGTGGGTGGGTGGGCGGGGAGAGGCTGTGGGTGGGAGAGGGCGGCGGGTGGGCGGGGAGAGGCTGTGAGTGGGAGAGGGCGGCGGGTGGGCGGGGAGAGGCTGTGGGTGGGAGAGGGCGGCGGGTGGGTGGGGAGAGGCTGTGGGTGGGAGAGGGCGGCGGGTGGGCGGGGAGAGGCTGTGGGTGGGTGGGTGGGTGGGCGGGTGGGCGGGGAGAGGCTGTGGGTGGGAGAGGGCGGCGGGTGGGCGGGGAGAGGCTGTGAGTGGGAGAGGGCGGCGGGTGGGCGGGGAGAGGCTGTGGGTGGGAGAGGGCGGCGGGTGGGTGGGGAGAGGCTGTGGGTGGGAGAGGGCGGCGGGTGGGTGGGGAGAGGCTGTGGGTGGGAGAGGGCGGCGGGTGGGTGGGGGGAGGCTGTGGGTGGGAGAGGGCGGCGGGTGGGCGGGGAGAGGCTGTGGGTGGGTGGGTGGGTGGGCGGGTGGGCGGGGAGAGGCTGTGGGTGGGAGAGGGCGGCGGGTGGGCGGGGAGAGGCTGTGAGTGGGAGAGGGCGGCGGGTGGGCGGGGAGAGGCTGTGGGTGGGAGAGGGCGGCGGGTGGGCGGGGAGAGGCTGTGAGTGGGAGAGGGCGGCGGGTGGGTGGGGAGAGGCTGTGGGTGGGAGAGGGCGGCGGGTGGGTGGGGAGAGGCTGTGGGCGGGTGGGGGGCGGGCGGGTGGGTGGGGAGAGGCTGTGGGTGGGAGAGGGCGGCGGGTGGGTGGGGAGAGGCTGTGAGTGGGAGAGGGCGGCGGGTGGGTGGGGAGAGGCTGTGGGCGGGTGGGGGGCGGGCGGGTGGGTGGGGAGAGGCTGTGGGTGGGAGAGGGCGGCGGGTGGGTGGGGAGAGGCTGTGGGCGGGTGGGGGGCGGGCGGGTGGGTGGGGAGAGGCTGTGGGTGGGAGAGGGCGGCGGGTGGGTGGGGAGAGGCTGTGGGCGGGTGGGGGGCGGGCGGGTGGGTGGGGAGAGGCTGTGGGTGGGAGAGGGCGGCGGGTGGGTGGGGAGAGGCTGTGGGTGGGAGAGGGCGGCGGGTGGGTGGGGAGAGGCTGTGGGTGGGTGGGTGGGTGGGCGGGGAGAGGCTGTGGGCGGGAGAGGGCGGCGGGTGGGTGGGGAGAGGCTGTGGGTGGGAGAGGGCGGCGGGTGGGTGGGGAGAGGCTGTGGGTGGGAGAGGGCGGCGGGTGGGTGGGGAGAGGCTGTGGGCGGGTGGGTGGGGGGCGGGCGGGCGGCACCTCGCGCGCCGCGGCCAGCTTGGCCTCCGTGTCCTGCAGCACCATCTGGTAGGAGCCGAACTGGGCCTGCAGCGCCTCCTGCCGCGCCAGGCTCTGCGCCGTGAGCTTCTGCAGCAGCCGCGCCTCGGCCTCCGCGCGGCGCAGCACGCGGGCCAGCGCCTCGTTGCGCTCCTCCTCCTGCACGATGGAGCGCCGGTAGGCCTCCGCCTCGCCGGCCGCCGCCTGCAGCTGGTGCCGGCACTCGCTGTGGAGGGAGCCAGAGCCGGGTGAGGAGGGGCCACCCGGCCGCGGGCTCGGGGGCGGGGGTGGAGCCCGACCATGACCCGGAGCCGCCGTTCCTTTCCGGGCTGCGGGCTCCATCCTCAGCAGGGGGCGTGCGGGAGGCAGCGATCAGTGATTCTCTCTCCTCACTTACGTTTCTCTCTCTCCCTCTCTCTTCCTCTCTGAAATCAATAAAAAATATTGTTTAAAAATAAATAGCTTTTTCAAGGTTGTGATTATGGTGGGGGGGGGAGCTAGCAAACTGAGTAGCCCGTAGCCATGACGACACTCCCGGGCCAGGCTCTGGGGCCCGGGGATGAGCACTGGGCAGTGGGGAGGCCACGGAGGGGCCTGTGACTGCGGCCGGCCCCTGGGGAGCGGAGCTGGTTAGCGCCAAGCAGGTGGGGGCAGGCCCCAGGCATCCCTCCGTCCGGTCAGCGGGCGGGGGTAGGCAGGCCGGTGCCGGGACGCCCGCCCGCCCACCCGCCCGCAGGGAGTGACAGCCGGACCGGGACCGGGGCTCTGCCTCCCCCTCGGAGAGAGGAGCCGGGAACTCGGGGACCCGGGGGAGGACTCCCTGAGCACGGAGCCCCAACCGGGGCGAGACTTCGATCACGGGCCGCCTCCTCTCCGGAGAGCGCCCTCCCCCCACTCCGCTCCCCACGTCCTCCGGGACATCCCCCGGAGAGCCCTGCTGGGCCCGGGCGTCTGACAGGACAGAAACGCTGGGGTCTCAGCAGACGCTGAGCATTCGGGGCGGAGGCGGGGCTGCAGGGGCCTCCCGTGTCCCAGGAGGCGGCTCCCTGGACCAGCCCCCTCCCCCGGGCACCCACCTCTCACCCGCCCACCGCCCTGAGCCGCTCCGCCCGGCCCGCAGGGACCCTGAGCCAGCACCCTGGGCCCGGCACCCTCCCCCAGGCACCCTGAGCCGGCACCCTCCCCCCGGGCACCCTGAGCCCTCCCCCCAGGCACCCTGAGCCCGGCGCCCTCCCCCCGGGCACCCTGAGCCCAGCACCCTCCCCCGGGCACCCTGAGCCCAGCACCCTCCCCCCAGGCACCCTGAGCCCAGCACCCTCCCCCCGGGCACCCTGAGCCCAGCGCCCTCCCCCCGGTAGGCACACGGGGAGCACCCTTCCCCCTGGCGCCCTCCCCGCTGGCGCCCTGGGCCCAGCGCCCTCCCCCTCCCCCCCCCCCGGCCGGCCGCGGGGTGCACCTGAGCACCTCCCGGATGGTCCTGTGCGCCTCGTCGCGCCGCTTCATGCCCACCAGGCAGACCGTCCACTGCTGCAGGATCACCTTCTTCTCCACGCGGACCGAGTCGATCTCCGCGCAGGCCTGGGGGCGGGGCTGGGCTCAGCGCCGGCTTCCCCGCTGTTCCCCCCCACCCCTCGTCCGCCTCGCAGTCCTTTTTATTTATTTATTCTATTGATTTTCTTACAGAGAGGAAGGGAGTGCGATAGAGAGCTAGAAACATCGACCAGCTGCCTCCTGCACAGCCCCCACCGGGGATGTGCCCGCAACCAATGTACGTGCCCTTGACTGAATCGAACCCGGGACCCTTCAGTCCGGAGACCAACGCTCTACCCACTGAGCCACACCGGTTTCGGCGGCCTTGCAATTCTTGATCACAAAGTTAACCATGGCTCTACAGACGCCTCGGCCCCTGTAAGCCTCCCTCCACCCCCTGGGCGGGAGGCCAGGGAAGGAGGGGGTGCAGGGCCCCACCGGACCCCACTCGTGGGCGCGGCCCCGGGGCCCAGGCACCGGCTGAGACGCAGAGTGCGGCTGAAGTCAGTCTCCAAGTATTTTAAACACTCATTTGAAAAGCAAACAAAAAAGGTGCTCATTCTTGCACGAGCAAGCACAAGGAAAACAAAATTACCCATCATGCCCCACTCGGAGGTTATCATTCCTAACACTGGTGCTACCTCCGTGTGTGTGTGTGTGTGTGTGTGTGTGTGTGTGACCATGTTCTGCATGTTGCTTTGTAACTTAGTATTAAAAAGCAGCGTATTGCCTGGCCAGTGTGGCTCAGGGGTTGAGCGTCGACCTATGTATGAGCCAGGAGGTCACCGCTGGATTCCGGTCAGGGCATGGGCCGGGTTGCAGGCTTGATTCCCAGGAGGAGGCATGCAGGAGGCAGCCAATCCATGATTCTCTCCCATTACTGATGTCTCTCTCTCTCTCCCTCTCTCTCTCTCTCTCTCTCTCTCTCTCTTTCTCCCTCTCCCTTCCTCTCTGATATCAATAAAAATAGATATTTTTTAAAAAGTCATAGCAGCTTTGATTCTTAGTGTTGGCCACGGAATCCGGGGCTGCCCGGGCCCCTCCCTCCCTGCACCGGAGAGGAGAGGCGGGTCCCGCCTGGGCGGGAGGGAGGCTCCCGTCCTCCCCGCGGAGCCGCCTGGCCTGGGCCTGGCGCTGGCTGAGGGTCCGCCCCTATCGGAGCACAGGGTCCCGCCCGCCTGGGCCGCCTCAGCCTCTCGGGCTGTGGGGGACTGGCTCCACCGGCCACCAGGCCCCGGTACCTCCCTGACTCACCTGGGTGGGCCAGGCATTGGGCTGCGGGTGCCTCTGCGGCTGTGGGTGCCCCTCACCTCGCTCACGGCTTTCCTGAGCATCCGGGTCTCCTCCGCCTGGGCCCCCGCCTGAGCCTCGAACAGGGCGATCTGTTCTTCCAGCTCGTGGGCCCGGCTGGTGAGCTGGTCCACGTGCAGGTCCTGCAACACGAGACCCGTGGCGGCTCTCAGGCGCCGACCCCTGACCCCTGACCCCTGGCCCGAGGGGGCGACCCCAAGCTGGCCGCGGCCTCTCGGGGCTGCAGGGGGAGAGCCTGCGCCTGGCCTGGGGGGGGGGGGGGTACCTGCTGCTGCTTGTCCCGCTCGGCCCGCGCCCACTCCGCTTCCGACTTCTTCACCACCTGCTTCATCACGTGGATGTCGTCCTGCATGTCCTGGTCGATGTTCTGCACGTAGAACAGGTTCAGAGCCAGGTGCTCCATCTCGCTCTGCAGCGACGCCACTGCGAGGAAGCAGCCGGGCCGCGTGACCGGCCGCCCTTCCCGCCGCCCGCAGTCACGCCCTCAGCTCCCTCCCCATGGGCTCCCAGCAGCTCTTTGTCGTTGACCGCTGCCTCCCGCACGCCCCCTCCTGGGGATTGAGCAGGCAGGTGGGCAGAACTGGTAAGGGGCTCCCAGAACGGCGGCCCGGTGTCACTCCTGCGGCTACGGACCCTCCGGTGGCAGAAGGGCAGTGACCAGGCGGGCCTGCCTAAGCAGCTGAGCCTTGAAAGGCAGAGTTTCCTGCGGCTGATGGCCGGAGAGGAGGAGAGAGATCCTCAGGTGAGTGGGATGGGAGGAGGGGTGAGTTCCCCATTGCTGGCTCGGAGGTGGAGGGGCCGTGGCAAAGGGTGTGGGCAGAGCACACCCCCTGCTGACAGCCAGCGGGATAGCAGGCCCACAGTCCTGCAGCCGCAAGGAGCTGAGTTCCACCAGGGACGTGAACAAGCCTGCAGGTGGGTCTTCCGCAGGTCCCCCCACGAGAGCCCTCGGGTTGGCTTGGGGATGCCCCAGGCAGAGACTCGGTGGCCGCAGGCTCCTGCCAAAGGCACAGGGGCAGATATACCAACGGGGCTGTTGTAAGCCCCTAAGTCGGTGGCAATTGGTTACACAACAGAAAACCAGAAAAGAGTGGACGCTGCCAGCAACCCAGGTTCCAAATGTCTCCCTCTTCCTAGCTGTGGTGTTCATCTATTTTTATAAAAAGGTTTTTAAATTACTTTTTAGAAAGAGGAAGGTGGAGGGAGAGAAACATCGAGGTGAGAGCAAAACATCCCTTATCAGCCTGGGAATGGAGCCACAGAGTTCCGAGCTCCAGCTGGCGAGCCACACCCACCCGGCACTCGCTGGCCCCTGCTCCCTTTCAGGTTCCCTGTGCGCCCCATGCCGGCGGCCAGTGGTGCCCGCGGGCGGGGCCTCCTCCCTCTCGGTTTTATTCACTTAGTGAGTTTTAACATGTCTGTTGACTTCAGAGAGGGAGAGAAACATTGGCGATGAGAATCGTGGAGCGGCCCCTCCTGCACGCCCCGCCTGGGGGCAGGTCTGCCCCAGGGCCTGTGCCCTCGGACGGAACCGAAGGGGCCTTACGCTGCCGGCGCTCCTGGTTGGCGGCCGCGTAGGTGCTGGTGTAGAGCTGGCGCACACGCTGCAGCTCCTGCTCCATCTGCTGCCGCGCGCACGTGGCCAGCGAGTAGCGGTCGTGGCTCTTCTCCAGCTGCACCTGCAGGGCCGCCATGTGCTGCTGCAGCCCGTACAGCTCCACGCCCAGCTCCTGCCGCTGCGCCTGGCTCTGCCTGGAGGCCACGCCCTGCGCCCAGAGAAGGCGGTCAGGGGGGCAGGCAGGGGATGGCACAGCGGGGAGGGGGAGCGGGGAGGGGGACCGCACCCAGTGGGGTGAGGATGGGGATGAGGACGCACAGCTGGGTGGGGATGGGGTGAGGATGGGGGAGGGACACAGTTGGGAGGGGATGGGGTGAGGATGGGGGAGGCACACAGCTGGGGGGGATGGGGGTGAGGATGGGGGAGGCACACAGCTGGGTGGGGATGGGGTGAGGATGGGGGAGGCACACAGTTGGGAGGGGATGGGGGGCCATGCACCAGCTCCAACAGCTCCAGCTGCAGCTTCTCCACCTGCCGGTTCAGGTAGCTGTTCAGTGCGGCCTGGAACCTGAGCATCAGGGGCTAAAGCGACGGCAAAGCACCGGTCAGAGTCGGCCCCTGCGACCTCGGCCCAGCTGTTCTCGGGGGTGGGGGGGGGGTAGCTTGTACCCTCCATGCTCACACTTCTGCAGCCACGCGCCAGGCACCGCCGGCACTGAAGCCTGAGTCTGTGTTTTGGCAAAAGGGCCGGGCAGGCGGGGCGGGGGTCCCAGCACCAATGGGCACTCGGCCCTTCCCAGGCCGCCGCCATCTGCCTGCGGCTCATCCCTGGGGCGGCCTCCCCTGCTGCCAAACCCCCCCCAAGTGCCAGGGCCCTGAGGCCGGGGGGCGGGCCGGTGTGGAGACAGGAGCCTCGGAAGGGACCAGGCTTTACAAGCTGCGCCAGCGCCCGCCCCGCCCGGATCGGCGAGGGCCAGGGGCTGGACGTGGAGGGCAGGCGAGGGGCAGCTCGGAGCCGCGGGCCCTCCTCACGTGGTTGGGGTCCAGGACCACCAGGTGGGTCACGTCTTCGTCCGGCTCGTCGCTCCCCTCGGACTCGGGCGGCTCGGTGCCCCTGTCCTCGGAGAGGCTGAAGTGCTGGATCCGGTCCAGGAATGAGGGTGAGAATGCTGGCCCCGGGGGCGGCCCGGAGGCCGGGGCGAGGGGGCCTGGGGGACAGACAGCCCCGGGGAGTGAACAGGGTCTGGGCCAGGCCCCGCGCCACGGGAGGGGAAGGAGAGGGGAGCTCCCACGGGGCCGGGCAGAGTGCTGTTTCCCTTTTTAACTGACTTCAGAGGAGGAGAGGGTGAGGGAGAGGGAGGGGCATCCATGATGAGAGAGAACCAGGGCCCGGCTGCCTCCTGCGCCCCCCATGGGCACAGGCCAGCAGCGGGCGTGGCACACGGTAAGGACGGAAAGGCAGGGTCTCTGTAAGGACCAGGGCTGAGGAGATGGGCGTCAGCACTAGGAGCCCCTTCTCCCTCCGGTTAGCCAAGTCTCTAAGCCACATGTGTCAAACACAAGGCCCGCGGGCCAAATCCGTCCCGCCAGGCCTTGCAATGTGGCCCGCACCGCGCTGTCATCACTGCACTCCGCTGCGTTTCCATCACAATGACAGTTTATGACTGTTCAGTAAACCATTCGGCCCGCAATTTAGGCTGGATTTTAGATTTTGGCCCCTTCTCTGATTGAGTTCGACACCCCTACCTAAGCAGAGGCCCGGCCGCGGGGAGTGATGGCGGGGCTCGGCCTGGGCGTGGGGCTGGGTACCTGGCTCCGGGCCAGAGGAGGACTCCGAGGTCAGGGACAGCTCATCGGAGGACGGGATGCGACCGCCCAGGCCGGGCAGCAGGGGGCGCGGTGGGACCCGCTGCAGGTCCTCCTCAGACTCCGTCTGGAGCGAGAACAGCAGGGCCTGAGCCCTGGGGAGTGACCGGGTCCCCCCTCCAGGGCTCCAAAGTCCACACAGACTTAAGGAAGAGGAACGCGTTTGGACATAAGGATCACGGGCCCTACCCGGCCGGCGTGGCCCAGGGGCTGAGCATCGACCTATGAACCAAGGGGCCAGGGTTCCACCCCCGTCCGGGCACAGGCCCGGGTTGTGGGCTCCCTCCCCAGTGCGGGGCGTGCAGGAGGCAGCCTGCCCATGATGCTCTCTCATCTCGGATGTTTCTCTCCCTCCCTCTCCTTTCCTCTCTGAAACCAATAAAAATATATTACAAAATAAAAAGATCACGTGTCTTTTGCAAATGGTCATCATGGAAACCATCTACCCCCGTCCCCAGGCTGCAGGCCGCTCGAGACCAGCAACCAGGATGCCTCACGGGGAGGGACCCCAACCTTGGCATCTGGGACACCCCCCATGGCAGGAAGGAGCGCACTGGCGTCAAGCAGACCTGGGCTACTCACCGAATGGCTAAGCCCAAATCTGGAAACATCCGAACTCGGCTGCCACTCAGAGGAGCCTGCCGCCTGCTGGGCGGCCTCTGAGTCCGGGGCCTCGTCCGAATCGATGATCTCCCTGGAGCTGGCTTTCCCCCCGAGGGACAGGGCTTCCGTGTCAGACCCCGGGCCCCCCGCCACCTGCTGCTCCTCGCCCGTCTCCGTGTCCCCCTCTTCTTCGGGGACCCCGTCCCCCTCTTCTCCCTCGGGGACCCCGTCCCCCTCTCCTGCATCGGGCGGGCCTTCCTCATCGGACGGGCCTTCCCCCGGGGCAGGGGCCTCGGGCTCAGCAGCTTCCGCAGCGGCCCCCGGTCTGGTCTGCTCCCCGGTGGACTCCTCTGGGGCTGCCTGTGGCTGCGCCGAAGGAAACAAAATATAAGGGTCTGGTGAGGTTTTCTCCTGGTTTTGTTTTTACCGATTTTAGAGAAGAAGGGAGAGGGAGAGAGAGACAAACAGCACTGAGAGAGAATCATCGATGGGCTGCCTCCTGCACGCCCCCTGCTGGGGACGGAGCCCGCAGCCCGGACACGTGCTCTGGAGCAGGAATGGAACCCGGACCCTTCAGGCTGCAGGCCGCAGCTCCGGCCACTGAGCCAGACCGGCCAGGGCGAGGTGTCATCCTTCACGGTGTGCTGGCGCCGATGGAGCGTGTCGCTGGGCCACAGCCTGTCTGCATGCCCTCTGCCATTTGGTGGTGACCTTTGCCCTTCGCTAGAGGAAAGGGAATCTGGGCCACTCGGGACTCCGAGAGCAGGTCCCATGCTCCCGCCGGGCCCCACAGCAGCGGACGGTCTGTCCGGGACCAGAGACTCTTTCTGGCCGATGCTCCACCTCTCCCGCAGCCCCTGGCAGACACAGGCCCAGGCCCTGGCCTCCGGGAACTCACCCCGGCGCCCTCGGGGGTCCCGTCCTCCTCTTCCTCCATCACTGCCTCTCCTTCCCTGTGGGGCCTGGCAGCGGAGAAACAGGCAGAGTCACCGGGGAGCCGCCTCCCGCCCGCCCGGGCCCAGCGCCCGCTTGCTTGTCACCGGCCCCAGCACCAGCGCCTGGCCCCGCCCGTGGCGGGAGGCCACCGGAGTCTCCACGAACGAAGAGGAAAACACGGTCACTGAAACACGAGAGGAACAGCACGCCAGGTCACCTGACAGACACCTGCGTCTGTGAGAACGGGGTGCCAACGGGAAACCGCGCCCTCCAGGCTGGAGAGCTCCTTGTCCTGCTTCACCCTCTTTCTTAAGAGGCTCTGCTTTGTCCTAACGGAGGATGCGAGCTCGGAGCCGGCCTCGGGGGCAGGGGTTGAGCTTTGGCCCAGAACTCGCAGGGCACAGGCCCGGGTTGTGGGCTCGATCCCCAGTGGGGGGCGTGCAGGAGGCAGCTGATCCATGATCCTCTCTCATCATGGATGTTTCTCTCTCTCCTTCTCTCTTCCTCTCTGAAACCAATAAAAAACATCTTTTAAAAACTAGCTTTTTAGAACATAAAATCAGGATGCTAGACAGGCCCTGCCGGCATGGGTCAGGGGTTGACCGTTGACCTATGAACCAGGAGGTCATGGTTTGATTCCTGATCAGGACTGTGGGCTCCATCCGCAGAGGGGCGTGCAGGAGGCAGCCGGTCCATGATTCTCTCTCATCTTGGATGTTTCTCTCTCTCCCTCTCCCTTCCTCTCAGAAATTAATAAAAATATATTTTTTAAAATTAAAAAATAAAGGAAGCATCAGAGACGGGCCTGGTGGCACTACCTCCATCTACCTGTGCTCAGGGCCTGGGCCCAGGGCAGCCCACTGCGGGGACCCCCAGTCAAGCTGGGGGGGGGGGACCACTCTTCCAGGAGAGCCGGGGGCTGGGCTGGTTTCTGCTCCGGGGCCAGGGGCCACCGCAGGGGCAGCACCGCAGACCATCCCCCCTCCCTCCCTCCCACCTCAGAGAGCCTGCACCCCGCTCTGAGCAGGGGCTGCCAAGCATAGTGGTTGCCATGGTTACTGCGGGAAGCGGTCCAGTTTGGGGAGCACCTGGGGCAGCGGACAGAGATGGGTGCGGGAGCAGACAAAGGGGGGTGAGGAAGGAGAAGGGCCCGGGGTGGGCGGCGCAGAGGGCGGGCGGGGGGGCCGGGCGGGAGGAGGGGGTGAGTGGGGAAGGGGCGCCCCGGGGGGCCGGGCAGGAGGAGGGGGTGAGTGGGGAAGGGGCGCCCCGGGGGGCATGGAAAGGGGGAACCCTGGGGGCCCTCCAAGACCCGCGGTGCCTGGACCCCGCTTACCGGCCGCCCCGCTCCCAGGCTCCGCCGTGGCCCGTTGCTAGGCGACGGCGTCAACATCCGGCGGCGGGGCCGCGCGGGGCGGCGGGTGCGGGCGGCCGTGGTGCCGTGGCCGGGCTGGGGACCGGACAGCCCTCCGGGCGGCATCAGAGCGCAGACCCGCTTCCCCGCCGCCCTCCCAGTCCAGCCCCGCCTCCGCCTCCGTCCGCACCGCGGGGCCCCGGGCCGGCAGGCGGAGGCGGGCCTGCGGGACCCGGACCCGCTGCTCCTTCGGGCCGGGGACCCAGCCTGGCCCGCCCCATCGGCAGACCTGGGGCGCGGGGTTCCTCCTCGGTGGGGGGGTGGGGAGAGAGCCAGGACCTGCGGCGGGTCCCCCGCGCCCCAACCCAAACCACAGAGGCTCAGAGCGGGGCGAGGGCGGGCGCGCACTGGGGCGCGGGGCTGGGGAGCTCGGGCCACCGGGCGAAGCCAGGTCTGACCAGGGCCGGGGCGGGCCAGGGGGGCGGGCCAGGGGCCCGGGCTGGGACCGGGTGGGGCCGGGGGCGGGGGAAGGGCGGGGGTGGGTGGGGAGGGCCGGGGGCCGGGAGGGGGGGCGGGGACCTGGTGGGGCAGGGGGCGGGGACCGGGAGGGGCCGGGGGGGGTGGGGCGGACTGGGAGCCGGTGGGGCCGGGGACGGGGATCGGGTGGGGCCGGGAGCCGGGCTGGGACCCGGTGGAGCCGGGAGGGGCCGGGGGCGGGGACCGGGAGGGGCCGGGGCGGGCCGGAGGCCGGGCCTGGTCGCACGTCCCCGCCCCGCCGGCCTCACTGGCGGCGGCGGAGGCGGCGGCGGCGGCGCCCGGAGCCAGCGCGGATCCGGCCCCGCCGTGGGACCCGGGTGGGTATCGGGGCGCGGCCTGGGCTGCGGGGACGGGCGCGGGGGCCGGCGGCGCCCCTGGGCGGGGATGGGGGGGACGCGTGGGCTGCGGCCGCGCCGGGAGTGACCGGGCTGGGGCCGCAGCCTCGGTGGGTGCGGGGCCGGCGGCGTGCAGGCACCCGGACCACGCGGGGGACTTGCTGGGACCCCCTCTGCGGCGATCGGGGGCGCCCGGGCGTGATCGGGAGGCTCGCTCCCCCTCTGTCTGCAGCCGCGGCGGGGAACTTGCGGTCTTTGTCTGGCCGGATGGTCCGGCTCGCGATGAGAAGTTGGAGGGGCCGCTGCTCGCCCACACGGACCCCCCAAGTGTGCTGTGTCCCCGCCGGCGCCCTGGCATTCCGGGGGCCCGGCGCGAGGTCTGGGCCAGAGCCGGTGCCAGGAAACTCACTTCCTTCAGGCCACGCTCTGCCCCCTCGTCCTTGACTTTAAAATAAGAAAGAAAAAAGAATAGAAAAGAGGAGAAGGAGAAACATAGGCAATTTGCTAAATATAGCCGGAACCTGCCAGGAGCCGGTGGCTCTGGAAGCCCCGTTGTTCCCGCGGCGGCAGCCGGTGTCACACGTGGCAGCATCTCGGTGGGGAATAGACCAGAAGCCCAACTAGTCTTCGGCCCCGGTGACACCGGCTGGCTCTGCCGCCTCCTGCGTGCGGGAGGAGGGCCCGGCCAGACCTCCCTGCGCACCTGCCCAACCCCGGAGGCCGCAGTGTCTCCCGTGGCACCCGGCCGTCTGCGCTCCCAGGCGGACCAGAGGTCGGGGTGGGTTTCCCTCCCGCGCCTGCCCTCCCGCTCCTGCCACCGCCGAGTGGAGAAGTTTTAAAAATCCGTGTGTTCATCTCAGAAACTCCCCGTTAGAAACATCCACACGTCACTGCTGGTGCGACTCAAACCACGGCCGCTTCGCAAAGAAAAAGTCACAGCCGCCCAAGTTCACCGCCGGGCCGGCCCGCCAGCACCTGCCAGCCGCTGGGTGTCTGTGGTGAGCAGGGCCTCAGAATGGCGCGAAAGGAAGGCCTCATCCGTGACTTTCCAAATCCTCCGGCCATGAGGTGGTCGTGGAACCAGCTTCTGGTCTCCACGCTCGAGTTCACGCACCCACAAAACACGCCGTCGGGGGGGGGGGGGTGCCCCCTTCGCAGACGGGGACACGGAGGCTCAGGGAAGTGACTTCCCCATTCGTGCAGCTGGGAGGGACCCAACTTGGGGCCTCCCGCTGGCAATGCCCCGTCACTCACACCGACGCCCTCCCTGCCGCCCTTGCTCAGACACTAAGGCCTGGCTCACTCTGCCAGCTGGTTCACCAGGATGCAAGGGCCTGGGGGCCAACCCCACGTCACTCAGGGGCTGCGCCCCGCAGAGACAGCCTGGGGTTCGCACAGCCCGCCCCCACCGCGCTGGCCTCGGCCAGACCTGGGAGTGCGGGCTGTGCTTAGGAGCGGGGCCTCGGGAGCAGACCTCTGGGCTCAGTCCCAGCCCGGTGCTCGGAGCTGCCAATGCCCCTGGCCTTGGTTCCTCTGGAAGTGGATAAACCACCTGCCTCAGAGGCCTGCTGCTCCATTATCTAGTGCCTGGCGGGCGCTAAGGGCTTGTTGCTATTTATTATTATTATTATTATTATTATTGTGAGTGGCCATCGATGGCTTTTTCACTGGCAACTCGATGGGCAGGAACATTTTGGTTTTGCTGCCCGATGCTTTGTGCCGGGGAATTCGCCGTTTAGGGTTCTTTACACTCATCTTTGTCACCGCGCAGGGGCTGGGGGGCGGGGCCCCTGCTGGCTGTGCCAGGAAGGGGGCAGCCGGGTTGCCTGGCAACACACATCTTCAACCCGGAGTTCACCTTGTCTACCCAGCCCGCTGAGAGACCCGGATTTTGCTCACTGGCCGGAACCCTCTTTTGTGAGATTAGCTGCTCAGCTCCCCGCGGTGCTGGGAGGCTGCGCCTGAGGTGAAACAATGGCAGCGGCGTTCTCGGTTCTCCTGGTTCCGGGAGGGTCCTCGGAGTAACCTTGTTGCATTCCCAGCTTCATTGTAACTGTAACACTGGCTGCACTCTGGGGGAGCTTCATTGTTGGCAAAAGCAGCCGCTGGAAAAGGGAGCTTTGTTACAGGTCATTTCTCTTAAAGTCGCAGAACCTAGCTGGGTGTTCAGTGGGACTTACTGCATTCGAAGTCTGTCCTGCCCCAAACCCGGGAAACGGCAGGAAATCTCTCCCCACGCCCTTTGGAGGTTTTGTATATAATGGATGTCAGAGAGGATGGGAGAGGGAGATAGAAACATCCATGATGAGAGAATCATGGCCCGGCTGCCTCCTGCACGCCCCCCACTGGGGATGGAGCTCACAACCCGGGCCCATGCCCTGACGGGGAATCAAACCCTGACCTCCTGGTTCTTGGGTTGACACTCAGACGTGGGTCAGAGGTGGCGTTTTATGCTGTCGGCCACCTGGGCGACCTGTGGCCACGTGGTCTTGTCTCTAACACTCCCGCCTGGTGAGCTGCCTGGCAGCCGACATCCGGTGTGAAACGGGCCTTTGGTCATGGACAGAAAAGAGGGGCGGCCGCCGGAGACCGGCTCCAGGTCTGACCCGGAAGCTGAGTGGACGGGGGACAGACAGGTGAGGGCACACCGGGAGACCCCTCCCCTCACCCCCACCTGTGGTGCCTTTGCCTCGAGCCTGGGGTGGCAGGCCGTCCGGGCGTTTAAGGGGTGTATCGTCCCGGTGGGCGTGGCCCGGCTGGTGGGACCATCGTCCCATACACCACAGGGGCAGTTTAATCTCCGTCAGGGCATGTACCCAGGTTTCCGGTTCCATCCCCCGGCAGGCATGTTCAGGAGACAAGTGATCGATGTTTCTCTCTCACTCTCTCTCCCTTCTTCTCTATTTTTAAAAATATATTTTATTGATTTTGTACAGAGAGGAAGGGAGAGAGAGAGTTAGAAACATCGATGAGAGTCATCGATCAGCCGCCTCTTGCACACCCCCCACTGGGGATATGCCCGCAACCAAGGTACATGCCCTTGACCGGAATCAAACCCGGGACCCTTCAGTCCCCAAGCCGACGGTCTATCCATTGAGCCAAACCGGTTTCGGCTCTTCTCTATTTTTAAAAATCTATGTTTTTATTTCAGAGCGGAAAGGAGAGGGAGAGAGAAACAGCAGTGATGAGAGAGAATCACTGATCGGCCGCCTCCACCCGCACGCCCTGCACTGCGGAGTGAGCCCGTGCGGCCTGACCCGGAAGTGAACGTTACCCCGCTGGTTCCTAGGCCGACGCTCAGCCACGCCGGACGGTGTGGTTCCTCCCTTCCTCTCTCTAAAATCAATTTATTGAGTAACGCAGGGCATGGAGGGTGGGAGAGGGACCTTCCGGAGAGCCGCCGGCCCGGCCGCTGAGCCCACCAGGGTGGCCACGTGGCAGCCGGCCACGGGTGTGCCTGAGCTGGCGCCCACTCGCTCGCCCGCTTTTCCCCACGTGGTGACCCTGAACTCAGGGGTCGGATAACAGTCCCCGGAGACCTCGGGGCCGGGAGGGAGCAGGTGCTGTGGGAGGGACGGTCCGTGTGGGTGCCCGGCTCTGTTTACTGTGGCATCGCCTAGCGGCTCTGTGGGCAGGCCTGGGAGGGCAAAGCAGGCGAACCGGTTTCTGCCGGCCACATGCCTGTTGCGGCCAGGCCGGAGGAGCGTCACCTGTGGGCTTCCCCGACACGTCCCCCGAGCGCCCAGTGCCCCCTCGCCCCCTCCCCGCCCCCCCGCAGCCCAGCCGGCGGGATGGTGCGGCAGCGGCCAGGTGGGTGGTGGCTGCCGCCCCGGGGGGGGGGGGGGGGGGACCGCGTGTCTCCGACCGCGTGCCGAGGCAGGGCGCGGCCGGAGGGGAGTCGGGGCTCCGAGGCCCGGGCTGTCCTCTCTCTGCTCTTCCTGGGGAGGGTCGGGAAGAGACTGCCCTTAGCGCCTGCCTGCTTCCTGTTGGCGGTTAACGGGGCTGCTTCTTCCAGGACAGGAAGCCCGTGTGGCCGAGGGGCCGCCAGGACCGCGCTGCTGCGAGCCAGGAGCTGGCGTGGCTGTGCCGGCCAAGGCCAAGGGGGGGAGGGACCTGCTGCCAGGGACTGTCAGCCTCACGCTGCCCATGCTGCACCTGGGCCGCGGGTGGAACCGAGGCTCAGGCCCTGGGCTGGAGAGGCCCCGAGGATGAGGGCGGGAGTGACAGGAGCGTGATGTGAGTGTACGTGTGTGTGAGTATGTGAGTGTTTGAGTGTGTGGTGGAGTGTGTGTGTGTGTGTGTACGTGTGTGTGATGGAGTGTGTGTGTATGAATGTGTGTGTGTGTACGTGTGTGTATGTGAGTTTTTGAGTGTGTGTGTGTACGTGTGTGATGGAGTGTGTGTGTACGAATATGTGTGTGTGTGTGTACGTGTGTGTATGTGAGTTTTTGAGTGTGTGTGTGTGTGTGTTTGTGAGTGTGTGGGGTGGAATGTGTGTGTGAATGTGTGTGGTGGGGTATAAGTGTGTCTGAGTGTGTGTGTGCTGAGAGGAGGCCCAGCTGCTCCCTCCCTCCTATTACATAACAGCCTGCTGTGCAGTCTGTCCTGCCTGTTGCTCCCGGCTGCCCAGGGCTCAGTGTGGACCCACTGCCCTCCGAGGCCCTGAGCCGGCAGGCCTGGTCCTCATGCTTCAAACAGCGGGTGTGGTTATTGGCTGAGAGGGAGGGAGAGGGAGACAGAACAGTCAGTGATGGGAGAGAATCAGGGACCGGTGCCTCCCGCGCGCCCCCCACTGGAGACGGAGCCCGCCACCTGGGCCTGGGCCCTGACCAGGAACGGAACCATGACCTCCTGGTTCCGAGGTCAGCGCTCCACCCGGAGCCCGGCCGGCCGGCTCCTTTACGTGTTTTAAGTCGTTACCTGCTTGTCGTTGGCTTTGCACACCGCCCGTGCCCTGCTCCGGGCGGGTGCGCTGGCATTCTCTCCCGTCAGCAGAGCCCAGCTTTGTCTGGGCTGCAGGTGGCACCTGGGGCAGGTGAAAAAGGACCTTCCAGAGGCGGCTTATTCCGGGTGATTTTTGAAGCCTTTCCCTTCACGCTCAGGTGACTCCACTGTACAGACAGGCTTGAGGGCTGGAAAGAGGGGGGAGAGGGGGGAGGGGGTGCCTTGGACCTTGCGATCTGAAACCAGCAGCTGGGACGGCTCAGCCATTTTTAAATGAAAACGTGAAGCGGCAGCCCGGCTGGTTGGACTCAGGGCGCAGGCCCCCCTGGGGGGCGCACGAGGCAGCCGATCAGTGACTCCCTCTCCCCATGGACGTCTCCCTCTCCCTCTGCCTGCCTCTCTGAAACCAATAACGACACGTTTAACAGGTGCAGACGCTGGTGTGGGTGTAAGACATGGCTCGAACGCAGTGGAGGCGCGGGTCGCTCCTGCGGTCAGGGACCTGCTCGCTCCCGCCTCCCGCTCGGGGGGGGGGGGGGGGGTCTGTTGGCACAGAGCGCGGGGAGCCCTCAGCTGCCGTTCTGATTTCCGTTCTTCCTGGCTCGCTGCTGCGGCTTCTCGGATCCCTCGGGGGCGCTGGCTGTGTCTTCAGGGCCTGGCGGGCGGCAGAGGTTGTGCAGGGCCCTCCTGTCCTGGGTGAGGAGAGCCGCTCAGGCAGACACAGCTGGGCGGCCTGCTGGTGGACGCTCTGAGTCTGTGTCTGGGCACACAGCTTTCTGGTGGGGGGGAGGGGTCTCCTTGCTCCTGGCGACCCACAGGATCCCTGGTCCCCGAGGTCCTAGACCGCTCTGCTGGGGGCGAGCGAGAGCCACGTGAAGTCGTGCTTCTTGCCGGTTCAAGGACACAGGGAGGCCTCGGCCAGGCTGCAGGCTTTGCCGGGCCGCACGGCCGGCGGCTGCCCTCCGGCGCCCTTGCCCGCCTCCAGCTCCGTGCCCACTCCCCCGTCCATCCTCAGAAGCCCAGCCTCGTTGGCCTTTTTGGGTGCAAGCTTCCTGGTCTTTTAAAAATATATTTTTTATTCATTTCAAAGAGGGAAAGAGAGAGAGAGAGAGAAACATCGTGAGGAGCGAGAATCATGGATCGGCTGCCTCCTGCACGCCCCACACTGGGGGTGAGCCCTTAACTCAGGCCTGTGCCCTGACGGGGAATGGAACCGTGGCCTCCTGGTTCACAGGTCGATGCTCAACCACGGAGCCACACGCTGGACAAGCTTCCTGGTCTCAGCCCTCCCGGGAGGCAGGCAGCCCCTGCAGGGGTGGGGACAGGCGAGTGCCTGCAGCCGTGGCAGCCACGGAGTGGGGGAGGGCGGGGGAGTGAGTCAGGGAGGTGAGGTATCAGAAGTGGGGTGCGGTGCCAGGTGCAGGCCTCCCTCATTTCCTCGTCCACCACCCCAACCCGCCCCGGCCTCCCGCCTCCCGGCCGCCTTCCTCTCTGCGGCCTTTCCCGGTAAACGTTTGCTTTGAATTAGGGTTTTTGAAATATCAGAGATATCATTGAAAAGTAAAAGGATGGCATATAAGCCAGCGAGGATGGATCTTTGGTTTGGGAAGGGCAATACAAAGTGAAAAAGAAACCGCCAGGGAAAAGATCCCATCGGCTTGACTTCATAGAAGTTCAAGTTCCTCAAATAGATGATACTCTCAGAGGGCAAGCAACGATTAGGACGACACCTGCAGCCAAGGGTCAAGGTCTTTGCTATATAAAGAGTTCTCACCGATTAACAACAAGCCAGCAGCCCAGCAGAAACCCAGGCAGGCACCGCAACCAGCAGGCCTCAGCGCCAACTCGTGTCTCACATACACAGGACACCCTGTCAAGTGAACGGACCGCCCAGAAACCGCTCTGTGGTCCGGTGGGCACAGAGGTGAGCCTCCGGCCAGCTGGGCCTCCCGGAAGCCGGCGGGGGCTGTTCGCCAGGGCCGGCCGATCCTCGCTGAGGTTTGCTTTGCAGGGAAGGCGTGGGAGAGAGGGAAGCACACGGGCATTTTGGGGTTGAGTTCAGATATGGGTCATTTTTACACTTCTGAGCACATTGCATAACGTTTTGAAAAAGAGCTTAAAAAAACAAGGTCACGGAATCTCCGCTCCTTACGAGCTGGGGCTGGGAGCCAGGCTCCGTCGGGTGGAACCGGCTCCCGAGCAAACACGTGCATTTGAACACCAGGAGCCCCGCCGGCGGCTCGGGGCTGAGCTTTGACCCAGGAACCAGGAGGTCAGGGTTCGATTCCAGGTCAGAGCACAGGCCCGGTTTTGGGCTCCATCCCCAGTGGGGGGCGTGCAGGAGGCGGCCGGTCCATGACTCTCTCTCATCATAGATATTTCTCACACACACCCCCCCCGTCCTTCTCCCTTTCGCTCTGAGATCAATAAAAACATGTTTAAAACACACACACTAAATAAACACATAGGAAGGAATTGTCTGAGAGCAAATATCCGGCTGACTTTCTCAGATGCACAGTCGTCCGCGCTCCCCTAGGCTGCAGCCGGGCGGGCAGGGCTGTCCAGGTTGTGTGTGGGGGGGGGGGGGGGGGGCTGGAACTGGCTCTGGAGGACAAAGGTCTGCCCCGGGCCCTCCCGTCACTCAGTGTGGGCGGCCAGCTCTGCGGGGTGACAGGTGGCCGCCGGGCGCGGTGTGGCGGTCATACGGCAGGCACACAGCCGGAGTCACCGGGCCAGACCGAACCTCAGAGGCCAGGGATGCCGCGCCCTGTGGTGACCGCTACATGAGAACAGACGGGAGGCCCTCGGCCTGGAGTTGCCAGGGAGGCTCCTGGGGGGCGGCGGGCCTGGGGAGCGGCCCTGCCCAGGTGTCTGGCCAGTGGGTAAGCAGGGTGGCACGTGTCCCACCCAGGGGACACAGGCGCCGTCTGCACTTCTCCGGTTGTGCTGCTCGGTGGGGGGGTCAGGGATGAGCTCGCCATCCTGAGGGCACAGGTTGGCCCGGCCCCAGGGGGCAGTGCGGTGGAGACCCGCTGTGTGGCCTGGGCTGGCAGGACCCTCTCAGGAGCGAACCAGCCCAGTTTGGGGCTGACAGGCACCTGCCGAGTGCGGGGCCGTGGCCCCATGCATCCCCCCTCCCTCGCCCCCCAGGTAGGTGTGGACGTGCCCACGGGGCCCACGTGAGCGGAGGATGGGAACACCCCCCGGCGATGTCTCTGGGCCGCCTCCTCCGCCGGGCCTCCTCCAGAGCCTCGGACCTCCTGACCCTCGCCCCGGGGGGCGGGCCCCCCTCCGCCCTGGACGGGGAGATCCTCTACTCCAAGAACAACGTGTGTGTGCACCCGCCCGAGGGGCTGCAGGGGCTGGGGGAGCACCACCCAGGTGAGTGAGAGGGGAGGGGAGGGAGGTTTCAGGGGCTCTGGTGTCACTCCCCGCTTGTCTCACCCTCACCCTGAGGTCACCTGACCAGAGCTGGGGCCCCCTGGGACAGGTGTGTTGGGGCGGGCCGGGCCGGGCCGGGCCGGTCTGAGCGGGCTGCGTTCTGGGTGTGAACGAAAGCGCAGCACACGTGGCGGCAGCGCCGTGGCTGATCCTGCTGTGATGGCGGCGGGTCTGGGCCCTCCTCCCGGTCCCAGAGCCCCGGGACTGAGTGCGGGACAGCTGGTCCCCGTGCCCGGCTGGCGGGAGCCGCGTGGGCAGAGCCTGAGGGAGGTCCAGGCCCAGCGCCCACCCTACATGACCTCTCAGAACAGAGCCCGGGGCGGGGGGAGCCAGGAAGCCGGGGCTGGGGGTCTGGGAGGGGCGGGGGCGGGGCGGTAGGCCTGGGAATCAGGACACCTTGAAGTGGCAGGTGCTGCCGGGGGGAATGCCACTGTCCCCCCAAACTGAGAGTGAGGAGCCCAGAGAGGTGGCGCCGCTCCCAAAAGCTGCATAAAGACTAGGGTGCCCGCGCCGGCAGCTGGGTGCTGAGTGTCAGCCTAGGAGCCAGGAGGTCACAGTTCATTCCCGTCAGGGCACAGGCCCAGCTTGTGGCTCCATCCCCAGTCGGGGGCGTGCAGGGGGCAGCTGGTCCATGATTCCCTCTCCTCTTGGATGTTTCCATCTCTCTCTCCTCAGCAATCAGTAAGAAATATATTTTTTAAACGAAAAGAAAAACGATGCCGATAGGGCGGTGGCCAAATGAAGGAGCCCCCGGGGCAGCCCCCTCTGGAACCCTCCCTGTGTGGGGTCTGAGTCCTGCGTCCTCCCACAGGGATCCGGGAGCCCCGGGGCAGCCCCGGGCTTGAGGGGACCCAGGAGGACAGGGTGGCTCCGGCCGGAGGAGGGCTCGGTGGAGGAGAGCACAGGGCGGCTGCTGCTGGGCGGTGCTGCGGCTCCTCCCGGGCACTGAGCAGCCCTGCAGCCGGCACTCATCCCAGGCCTGGCGTCCCCATCCCTACCCTGCCTTCCCCCTCCCCCCACCCCCCGCGTCTCACTCAGGGCCGGGCTGTGCCAAGCTCCCAGCCCCACAGCCCGGTGTGCCTGGCAGGTGAGGCCGCTGTGCACGGCCCTCGCTCACCGCCGCCCTCGCTCGCCGCCCTCCCGCAGGCTACCTGTGCTTGTACATGGAGAAGGATGAGCTGCTGGGGGCCACCCTCATCCTCGCGTGGGTCCCCAACTCCCGGATCCAGCGGCAGGACGAGGAGGCGCTGCGCTACATCACCCCCGAGGGCTCCCCCGTGCACTCAGCACCCCGACCGCGGGGCCGGCGCACCCAGAGCTCCGGGGCCCCCAGCCGGGTCTCCCCCACGGAGCCGCGGCCGCCCCTGTCGCCCCGGGACGAGGACACCCTCCGGGGGGACGGGGAGAAGCTGGCCCGGGGCCTGGGGATGGACGGCGCCCTCCCGGCCTCGCAGCCGGCCCACAGCCCCTCCGGGACCCTGTCCGCCGGCAGCTCACAGGACGGGACGGAGGAGGGGCGGGAGCCGCAGCCCGAGGCGGGCGAGGAGGGCTCCATGGAGCTGTCGGCCGAGGGTCTGAGCAGGGACAGCTCCTTCGACTCCGACTCGGACGCCTTCTCCTCCCCCTGCTGCCTGTCGCCCGTGAGCGCCGCCCTGGTGGACAGCAGCGGCTCCGTGTTCCTGGAGGGCGAGAGCGGGTGAGTGTCCGGTCTGGGCCTGCGGCCACGCTGGGGGCCTGGGGTGTGTCGCCAGCCCCAGGGGATTAGCCTGCCGTGGGCCTGATGGGAGTGGTTGTCATGGAAACCGTACAGCATGCTTGGGGTGCTTGGGGCGCCCCAGAGGCGGGCGTGCACACGGCTCTTGGACAGCGGGCTTGTGCAAACCCAGCCCAGCCGGGGCCACCCCCGGCCAGAGGGCACCCAGCCAGTCCCCTGGCCACACTGGGTGGGAGCCCGCTGGGTGCACAAGGACTCGGGGTGATCGGGACCGGTGAGCCGGGCAGTCAGGGCGCGGTGCAGGGACACGGAACGCTATGCGCCTCAGCGGGAAGGAATTTGGGATTCATTCTGATATCAGCCCTCGATCAATCGCGCTCCATTGAAGCTCGAGGGTGCACTGATAACATGTTCCCACGTTGGCGGGAGGGGGGACCCATAAAGCGTGCTGAGCGGTGAGGTGATTCCACCTGAGGGCCCGGCTGGGAACGACGCGCCAGCCCCTGCCTGGGGCCTGCGGCGGGCCTTAGAGCGCCCCCTGGTGGTGCCGCACGGCAGCGCAGCCATACCTGCGGGCGCCCCGCAGCCCAGGGGCCTGCGGAGGGACAGGTGTCTGAGCTCTCGTCTCCACTGTGCTTAGAGGGGTGCCAGGCTGCCTGACGGTCCCGTGGCTGGTGGTCTGTGGCCGATGGTCCCGTGGCTGGTGGCTGACGGCCTGTGGCCGCGGTCTCAGTGGCAGGAGGAGGACCAGGGCCGGGCCTGCTCAGCTGCCTGGTTCCTTAGGAGCTTGGATTTGGGGATCCCGTTTCCTCTTCGCCAGGCGGGGGAGTAATGACAGTCTGTGGTTCCCCGAGAGCTCATGCCGGCGCCTCCTCCCTCCCGGCCTGGGTGCTCCTCGCCGGCGCGTGAGGGCCCCGGCCCCTTTCACAGCCCGAGCGCGGCTGTTCCCCAGTCCTCACGGCGATCCCGCCCGCGGGCGGTGACAGGCCAGAGGCCAGGCCGGGGGTGCTGGGAGCCCTCCGCGCACAGGGCGCCCGCCACCGTGACTGCTCCCCGCGTGGCACGTGCAGGGCCCGGGACTTCGCGGAGGCTGTGGTCGCGGCGGGCAGACGCGGGCCCTGGAGTCGGGGACTCGGTGTTTCCTCTTCATTTTAAACGCTTATTGTTGGTTTTAGAGGGAAACGCCGACGTGCTGCTCGCCTCATGCGCCCCTGCCGCCTCTGTATGTGCCGAGCGGGGCCACCGGGGCTCCCAGCCTGGGCGCGTGCGTGTGCGCATGCGCGTGCGTGCGTCTGTGCGTGTGCGCGTGTGTGTGCGTGCGTCTGTGCGTGTGCGCATGTGTGTGTGCGTGCGTCTGTGCGTGTGCGCGTGTGCATGTGTGCGCGTGCATGTGCGTGCGTCTGTGCGTGTGCGTGCGTGTGTGTTTCGTTCTAAAACGCACCTAACCGTTTTGCTGACGGGCCCGTTTTCAACAAGTCAGGGCCCTTCGTGTTTGCACCGTCACCTCAGTCAGTTCCAGAACTTTCTCAGCGCCCCCGAAGGAAGCCCTGCCCCACTCACGGCCACCCCGCCCGGCGCCAGCCCCCACCGGGCGCGTCCTGCCTCCGGGTCCCGGCAGGTGGCCTGTGTCCGGCTTCTTTCACTCGCGCCCCCCCCCCCCCCGTCTCCCCTCCCTCCTCAAGGCCCAGCCGGAGCGGCGTCAGGCTCCTTCCTGGCTGCGGTGCTCAGGGGGCCCTGCGCCGCTGCAGACGCCCCGCTGTCCTGAGAACGCGGGCAGCGTGTAAACCTGATGCCCAGGCTGCACCGCACCCGCCTGGAACCCGGATGGGTGGGGGAGGGCCCCGAAGGGCAGCGGCTGACCCAGGGGCTCCCAGTGTGCACAGTGAGAACCGTGCTGGGAGGGGCCCCGGGGAGGGGCGTGGCCTGCGGACACTGAGCACCCGGAGCTCCGCTGCTCCGGAGGGAAGTCCGGTTTCCCGGGAACCGGTCCCCAGAGGAGGGCGGGCCGGCTCACGGGGTCCCTCTAGTGGCAGAGCCGGGAACTGCGCGTGGAGGCTGAGCTGTGGCTGGAGATGGGAGGTGGGGACAGCGCCCCCATGGGAGAGCCCCGGGCATTGTGTTCCGTGGCAGGTGGATCCCAGCGGCAGGTGGTGACAGATGGCAGCGCCATTCCGGTGCGCCTGCGGGGGGAGCTGGCGGGGCCTGGTCTTAGATGGCGCCACCTCCAGGCATCCAGCGCCAGCAGGGATGCCAGGAGTCAGGCCTCACCGGGGACATACCCCCCCCCCCCGTGGCCCCAGCTCTGCCAGCAGCACTGGCTTCCGTGGCTCCTCCCACCGCGGCTTGGGTTGGGGGGCGGCGAGGTTGAACCCAGGCAAGATCATTTGTGCCTGTCCCAGGAGGCACGGTGCAGCCTCAGGGCCTCCGGGTGAGGATGTGGGACAGCAGGACCCCACCCCACCTGTGACCCCCTGTGGGTCCCCCCGCCCCGTGGCGCTTCCGCAGGCCCCCGGTGGGGTATTGTAAACGGACACGCAGCTTCTCCCCAAAAGCAGAAGGCCTCTGGGAACTGCTGCTGGGACCGGGTCTGGCGGCAGCCGCCCTGTGAGGCGTTCACCCCGGTGTTCATAACGGGGAATGAACCCAGCGCCCCTCCCGGCTCAGGGCTGAGCGGTGACCTCTGACCGGGAGGTCACGGGTGGATTCCCGGTCAGGGCACAGGCCAGGGCTGCGAGCCTCATCCCCAGTGGGTGGCGTGCAGGAGGCAGCTGCTCCATGACACTCTCATCACTGATGTTCCTCTCTCCCCCCCTCCCTCCCTCTCTGCCATCCATTAAAAAAATGTATTAAAAAAAAAAAAAAAGACCTCGACGTCCAGCAGAAGAGGACATACATGGCAGCTCAGTCCCCCTCAGCTCGGGGTTTGAACTGGGGCCCGTGGCCCCCCAATCTCATGCCACCTTGTGCGTGGGGGCTCCTGGGGGTGCATTTTTCTGAGGGCACACCATCCGCCTCCCCAAGGGCCTGTGACCCCGAGTTCAGTGCTGCCAGAGGGGAGAGCGAGCAGCCGCGGATGCACGCTGTGTCAGAAACGGCAGGCGGCCAATTACACACGTGTTCTTTTTTAAATCCGTCTTCATGACGTCACAGAGAAGGGAGGGGAGAGGGAAGCATCCATGATGGGAGAGAGCCACGGATCGGCCGCCTCCTGCACGCCCCGCTCTGGGGATCCAGCCCACAACCCGGGCCTGTGCCCTGACCGGGAATCAAACCGTGACCTTCTGTTCATAGGTTGATGCTCAACCACGGAGCCCCGCCAGCCCACATTCTATTAAAATCAGTTCTGCCGAAACCGGTGTGGCTCAGTGGACAGAGCATCGGCCTGCAGAATGAAGGGTCCCGGGTTCGATTCCGGCCAAGGGCATGCACCTTGGTTGCAGGCACATCCCCGGTGGAGGGTGTGCAGGAGGCAGCTGATCGATGTTTCTCTCTCATCGATGTTTCTAACTCTCTATCCCTCTCCCTTCCTCTCTGTAAAAAAATCAATAAAAAACACTTTTAAAAAATTAAAATCATTTAAAATCTGTGCTGAGACCTGATGTGTGGACACAGCCCGGGCAGCCCTGCCCAGCGGAGCTCACAGCTGTGGGCTTCGTGCCGCCGGCACCCCACCCAGCAGGACGGAGACCCGGGAGGGTGAGCTCCTGGGAGACTGTGAGCACCGGTGAACCCCGCGGAGACGGGATGGGGATGGGGGGAGATGTGCCCGAGGTGAGGGTCGAGTCCTCAGAATGACTTTTTTCTTTCTCAGTTTTCACAAGGTGCCCGGCGGTCAGGATATGGCTCCCAGGAAGGCCAGGCGGTCCCTGCACCCGCACACCGCCTGCTCCCCTCTCCTCTCCCTCCCCCACCCAATGCAGGAGCACCGGGGCAGGGAGCCTGCCAGGGCAGGCTAATGACCTGCCCTTGTCCCCCCAGGGCAGACAGCCTCCTCCCTCCCTCCTTCTCTCCCTTCCTCTGCCCCCCCCCCAGGCCCTTCAGGTCACCCTGCCTGCCGGAGGGTCCCCCAGGCGGCTGGGGCTTCAGCAGCTGAGGGGAGAGAGTGCCCCGCAGAGGGAGGCTGGGAACCCCAGGGCCGGGAAAGGGCGGGCGGGCGGTGCCCTGAAGCCGCACTGGCTCTCCTGGGCCCTCGGAGCCGCGGGGTCATTGCACCCGTGAGCCCCCCTGAGGGACTGGCCGCCCAGCCGCCCCGTCACCCGCATCCCCTCCGCTGTGCCCGCCCTGAGCCACGGCCTGCTTCCCCAGCAGCCCCTCCAGCTCCGGGGCTCCTGGCTGCATCCATCCATCTCAGCCTCGGTCTTCTCTGGCCCCGCCTCCGCCCTCACATCACTCTCCTCCAAGTTCATGTGCCCTTCTCCCTTTTCACACCCCTACACTCGTGTGTTCACGTGGCCCCACCCCCTTGTTCACATGACCATCTCACCTGTTCACGTGGCCCCGCCCCCTTGTTCACATGACCATCTCACCTGTTCACGTGGCCCCGCCCCACCTTGTTCACATCACCATCTCACCTGTTCACGTGGCCCCGCCCCCTTGTTCACATCACCATCTCACCTGTTCACATCCCCTTGTTCACGTGGGCCAACAAACCTGGAAATGCAGCCATAGTGACTGAGCAACTGAATTATTACTTTTCTTCTTCCTCACCGAACTCAAAAAAAGTTATTTTATTGATTTCAGAGAGGAAAGGAGAGGGAGGGAGAGAGAGAAACATGAGGGAGAATCCTGGTTCATAGGTCAGTGCTCACCCACTGAGCCATCCGGTCAGCACACATTTGGATTTTGAGAGCTGCCTGTGGGGGGCTTTCCGGGGGGCAGGGCCCAGGCAGCCGGGCCTGGAGGCAGGTGGGGCATCGTCTCCGGCACGTCAGGTTACCTCAGAGCCACAGGCAGCGGCCAGTGCGAGGGCCAGCGGCTGCCGG